TTTATGCTACAGTTAAAAGTGATTATATATCACCACACAGTATGCTATCGTCTGAATATATGCATCCCCAAATATTCATATGTTAAAATTCTGACCTGTCAGGTGGTAGTTTTAGGAGATGGTGAGGTCTTGAGAGGTGATTAAGTCTTTAGGGCTCTGCAAGGCAATGAGATTAGTACCCTTATAAAAGAGAGCATAGAGAGCTCTCTCACCCTTCTGCCGCATTACATGAGAAGATGGCTGTCTATGACAAAGCAGGCCCTCACCAGAGATGAATCTGCTGGTGCCTTAATACTGGACTTTCCAGCCTCCAGAGCTGTGAGAAATACATTTCTCTTGTTTATAAGCCACCCACGATGGTATTGTTGTCATAGCAGACTGAATGCACTAAGGTACCATATTTAGAGGATTCTGAATTGGACTATACATTTACCTTCACCAAGGAGTGTGTGTTTTTATGTTCCTAATTAATGTCCTTGCTTTAGTGCCCTTGAGGAACTCTTTTGCTTTTCTCATAAGGCAAGTCTAGTGGTGGTGAATTCCCCCCAGCTTTTGTCTCAGAAAGTTTTTTTTTTAATGTTATTTATTTTTGAGAGAAAGAGCATGAATGGGGGAGGGGCAGAGAGAGAAAGGGAGACAGAGAATCCCAAGTAGGCTCTGAGTTGTCAGTGTAGAGCCCAACGCAGGGCTCAAACTCACAAACTGCAAGATCATCACCTGAGCAGAAGTCAGATGATTAACCAGCTGAGCCACCCAGGAGCCCCTGTCTTGGAAAGTCTTTCTCTCTCCTTCATTTTGCTGGGTATAGTATTTCGACTGGCAGTGGTTTGTTGTTTTTTTTTTCCTTTCAGTGTTTCGAATATATGACCCCACTCTACCCTGGCCTACAATATTGCTAAAGAAATCCACTATAAATCTTACAGGGGGTTCTTTGTATGAGACTCTTTGATGCATTGTTTTTCTCTTACTGATTTCAAAATTCTCCTTGTCTTTGACTTGAGAATTTGAGTATAACGTGCTTCAGTTTAGACCTTTTGATGTTCAGCCTGTTAGGGGTTATTTGGGAGCCATGAACCTAGATATAGATTTCCCTCCCCAGATTTGGGAAGTTCTTGGTCGTTATTTCTTTAAATAATCTTTCTCTTCTTGTTCTCTGCTCCTTCTGGGACTTCAGTAATAGGTACATTGATTCACTTATTGTTTTCCCAGAAGTCACCGAAGCTTTGTTCACTTTTTCATTTTTTCTTTTTCTTCTAACTGGGTAATTTCAAACAGCCTGTCTTCAAATTTGCTCATTCTTTCTCCTAAGTGACCAATTATGCTGTTGCCGCTACTGAATTTTTCAGTTTGGTCACTGTATTCTTTAGTGCCAAGATTCCTGTTTGATTCTTTTTCATGTTTTCTATTTGTTAAACTTCTCATTTGGTTTGTGTATCGTTTTCCTGATTTCATTTAGTTGTGTCCTTATAGCTCACCGAGCTTCCTTAAGACTATTATTTTGAGTTCTGTGTCAAATAGTTCATGAATCTCCTTTTCTTTAGGGTCAGTTGCTGGAGCTTTATTAGTTTCCACTGATGTTGTCATATTTGCCTGACTTTTCATGATCAGTGCAACTCTGCATTGGTGTCTCTATTTAGAAGAGCTGATACCTTCACAGACTGGTTTTGGAAGGTAAATACCTTCTGCAGCCTCCCTGGGGTTATAAGGCTGCCTCCAAGATATGGTTGAACAGAGCTGGAGCTGGGTTTCACGGCTGTTGCTGGGTCCGCAGTTGGCGGTTCCATTGCCAGGGGTATGAACGGATCTCATTTCTGCTGGGTCCTTGAGTACTCTCCCACTAAGTTAGGCTGATTCCTAGATGGCCAAGACTGCCTGTAGACTGCAGCAGAATGGCACTGGAGCTGGGGTCACAGGACTACTTTGGCAACAACAGTTGGGTCTGAGCTCAGCAGGCCATGATGCTGGGGCATAGAAGGGGATGGTTCCTCTCAAGTCTCTCGGCAGTAGGATCTAGATGCAAGACCATGAACAAATGAGACAAGATTTGAGTCCCCAGAAAGACGAGGCAGCTCTAGGTCTGCAGCTGGGCTCACAGTCAGTGAGTCTTCTGCCAGGGCATGTGCCCGCCTTTTCAAAGTGATCCTCCTTGGTCTTGGGCTCCAATGGGATTGTGCAATCTCCTACCCAGGTCCCAAAGCTTCCCCGCTTTTATCTATGGATGGCTGCCAAATACTTGCTTCTGTGGGAAACACAGGTTGGAGAACTCCTATTCCATCATCTCACTCATGTCATTTTTCTTTTTTTTTTTTTATTTTTTAATGTTTATTTATTTTTGAGACAGAGAGAGACAGAGCATGAATGGGGGAGGTCAGAGAGAGAGAGGGAGACACAGAATCCAAAGCAGGTTCCAGGTTTCTGGACCTTGTCAGCACAGAGCCCGGCCCAGGGCTCGAACTCATGGACCGTGAGATCATGACCTGAGCTGAAGTCGGACGCCCAGCTGACTGAGCCACCCAGGCGCCCCTCATGTCATTTTTCTAGTACACGGCACTAAATGCATCTGCGGGTGTGTTTCAGTCTCTATCAGTTCACACACACAAAGGGGTTTGTTTTTACCAACACTGAAAACCTTAGAATAAAATATTTATTTATGTATTTCACAAAAACTTTTAGTGACACATATGCACAGCCCTGTACGGGGTGCTGAGAATGATGGGAAAGCATGGGAGGCAGCATTTCTGTGCTCAGAAAGCTCATGATCTAAAAGGGCCTCCAGGGGCGCCTGGGGGGCCCAGTCATTAAGAACCACCACACTCGATTTCGGGTCAGGTCATGACCTCACAGTTCAGGAGTTCAAGCCCTACATCAGGCTCTGTGCTGACAGCGCGGAGCCTGCTTGGGATTTTCTCTCTCCCTCTCTCTCTGCCCTTCTCCTGCTTGCGCTCTCTCAAAATAAATACACAATAAGTGAATAAATAAATAAGTAGGCCTCCAGCAAACCCAGTGTACAAGAAACATCCACCTAACAAGAGCCCAGTTAAATAAATGTCCAAAGTTACCAACAGTGGTGTAAGCAAATACCACACTGCCTGCCAAGGAGCTGGTAATGCCTTCAGGAGACAGAGAGCAGGAGCTAGAGGAGGCAGACGTGTAGCGGGGCCCAGTGGCAGGAAAAAGACCCCATAGTTGGAAGCTGCACCAAACACTCCAGAAATAGGACATCCCAATGTTGTGCCAACACAGAGGGACAGGTTAGGGTAATGGCGTGGAGCACATGCTTTGGGGCCAAATAGCACGTGTTCAGACAAATGGCCCCAAACTCCGTTCTGCTGCCTACTGGCTACTTAAACCAGTTTACAGCCTGTAAAACAGGGATGATCCTAGAACTTACTTCACAGAGATGTTGACAAGATGACCCAAAACACTACACGTAAACATCTACCGCATAGAATATACTCGGGAAAATTTTAGCCACATTTAAAACAATACAAAGTCCACGGTGACCAAGATACTTGGGCAATGGGAAATAATCCACTGTTCTCTATAAAGCTCATAGGTCTGGATTACTTCTCCCCACCAGCCTCATGTGGAGAGGGACAGTACCGCTTGCTCACTGCTGGATCTCCTTTGTCCTATCCAGGCCCTGGCACATAGTCGGCATTTTAAAATTTGCTGAATAGGGGCGCCTGGGTGGCTCAGTCGGTTGAGCGACCGACTTCGGCTCAGGTCATGATCTTGCGGTTTGTGAGTTTGAGCCCCGCGTCGGGCTCTGTGTTGACAGCTCGGAGCCTGGAGCCTGCTTCGGATTCTGTGTGTCCCTCTCTCTCTGCCCCTCCCCCACTCAAGCTCTGTCTCTGTCTCAGAAATAAAATAAACATTAAAAAAATTTTTTTTTAATTTGTTGAATAAACGAACGGCCCCTCATCTGGAGTGTCTAAGCAGTTTATAAACATGCCAACTTTGCCTCCTCTGTCTTCCCGTTACCCATTTCTCAAACCTGTACTTCCTACCTCTATTCACTTAGTTACTTAATTCATTACTTAATAAATACACACTCAATATTTACGGAATGTCTCTTAAATGCCAGGCACTGTTGTAGATCCAGGGGGGCATATGACAAACCTAAGAAGCCCCTGCTCTCACAGAACATCTATTCTAGAGGTGGGAAAGTAAACAAGCAAATAATTTGGGATAAACACTCTGAAGAAAAGTAAACATCATCATCTCTCGCCCCTGCCTTCTAATCAGCCTCTCTGCTTCACATCCGGTCTCACGGACGTCTACCCACCGTCATAATGCTCCATCGAAGTTACAAATTCTAACCTTACCGTTCTCCTACTTGAAGCCTTTCCATGGCTCCCTGTTGATGATGGTAATACTGCAGCTTTTAGAAGAAACCCACAGCTACTTACCGCCCATGACGCGAGCCCTGCATGCCTCTCCGACCCGAGTCCTCCTCACTCGCTTCCTTCCAGAACTCCGTCTCAGCCCCCCTGAACACCAGTGCTATTTCTCCACTTCTGTGCCCTTCCTCCTTTCTTACCTCCTCCACCATGTCTCGCCAGGTACAGACACCCTTGCCTGGCTGACTCCTGTTTTCATTCAGTTTTCTCAAGGATCACTCTTTCGGGTACGTGTCACAGCCCATCCCCCTCACCACACACTCACACACACACACTCACCGGCCTCGCTGGCCCTTCCGCCCTCAAGATGCCCGTGTGTGTTTCTACTACCGCACTTCCATTCCGCACTACGTTATTTTGCTTCCTGCTTCTGCTCCCCCAGCCGTCAACTCTTTGCCAGCAGGTACCTTTTTTTTTTTTTTATTCATCTTAGAAGTCTAAGGAGAAGGAGACATTTGACAAGTGTCTGTTAAGTTTTTTAAATGAATTTCTATTGAAAGAAATAATAAAATGAACAGAAAACAACAGCCATGACTTTTGAAAAACCGAAGAATCCTTGCTCTGTGTTCATCTCTGGCTAATTTATTTATTTTGCAGCTCCTGTCAGTGGAAAATCTGGTGAGTTCTCGTCTCTTTTGCTCTTCGGGTGTCCCTGGATAAGAATGTCTCCCTAAAAAACACGAGGCGCTTGCAATGTCTGTCTGAGGGTCTCCAACAGCTCCTGTTCTCGCCGAGACCAGAGGGGGTGTGAAAGTGTCACGTGCTCTGCTGGCACCACCCAAGGGCCAGGACAGCCACACGCCCCCCCCCCCCCCCCCCCCCCCCCCCCCCCCCCGCCCCGCCTCTCCCTGGAAGAACTAAGAAATGCACGAGCGGCTCCTGGCCTTCGGTAGACCCTGAACTTAACCCTACCGCAGACGGAACCCACTTGACCATGCAGGACGTCCTCAACTCCACGGCAAACGCGCAGGGCTTGGGATAAGGTTTTCTCCCATCAGCAAGCTCGAAGAACGTCTCTGTAAGCATCGCACTGCGAAGACGCGAGCAGGAATACTACGTTCTCTACACATTCAGAAGTAAAATCCTGCAGGAAATGTTCCTCCTCCAGAAGAACATCCAGCAACTAGGCCCTCAAAAAGAAGAAACGCACCCAAAATAGGAATTGGGGGAGAAGACATATTATCTGTGTCACACATTTTCTTAGTTCTGACTCCCACCACCATTCCCCTGGGTCAGAGAATGTCCTGAATATTTGAGGATTCGCGAACGGCAATACAACCGCTCTCCTTGGCCGAAATCAGCTGCCCTGGGATTTCATCCTTGTCTGGCTCACTTCTGGATTCCAGCAAACGACCTGTCCGTTCCTTGCTCTGCCACAATCAGCTGTGACAAGAGTCTCTGGGCATCTGAAACGTCATCTGTGACACGAAGGTGTTAGACGAGTTAATCCCTCAGGCTTTACTCAGTGCCAAAACCTTCAGAAAATAGGGTTTATCCCGTGAGAGAAAGTGCACACCTGTGATGCGCACAGCTCCCTGGGAGGTCCCCATGAGTCGGTGGACGTGATGAAGTAGGAGGGCAGGGGCGGCCTTCTCTAGCGCCCGTAAGAAGCCAACTGGCCATTGATCCCACTGACACTCGGCGGCGAACCCCACTGCTTACACTGTCGGCTTGAAATCATTTCTCTCAGTGCCATCCCCTGGGGGCTCCAATCCACAAACAGCCGTGAGCAACCACTGACCCTCCCGGGAGGCTTTCCTGGGGATCCCCCCAAGCCTGGTCCTCGGGTCCGTCCCACACAGACGACTGCGGCGGGGACCACAGGCGTCCCCATCTCAGGCTCTGTCTCTCTCTTCCTCAGAAGCTGCGGCCAAACCCGTGATTTCCCTCCATCCTCCATGGACCGTCGTCTTCACAGGAGAGACAGTGACCCTGACTTGTCACGTATTGCACTTCCACGCTCCAGAGAAAATAAAACGGTTCCTTTGGTACCTCGAGGGGAGAATGCTACGCGAAACCCCAGGAAACACCCTGGAGGTCCGTGACTCCGGACAGTACAGATGCCAGACCCAGGACTCGCTCCCAAGTGACCATGTGAGCTTGACCTTTTCTTCAGGTGAGAAAAAAAGAAAAGAAACAAACCACAGTTTCTTTAGAAACCACACAGTTACCCTTGGGGCGCCTGGGTGGCGCCAGTGGGATGGCGTCGACTTCCAGCCAGGTCACGATCTACTTGATCCGGGGAGTTGAGCCCCTTGTCGGGCTCTGAGCTGATGGCTCAGAGCCTGGAGCCTGTTCGATTCTGTGTCCCTCCCTCTCCCGTTCATGCTCTGTCTCTCTCTGTCCCAAAAATAAATAAAACGTTGAAAAAAAAAAATTAAAAAAAAAAAAAAAAAACCTTTTGGTTACCCAGAAGCTGCCTATATTTACGGAATAATAATCTATACAGATGAGACCCAGAGATTTGTTGCTCAGATCCAAGAAAATTGGAGAAGCAAATTATTTGAATGGTTTCTGAATCTACGTATAGTTTTGATTTTTTTAATTATTTTAATTTTTTATTTTTTATTTTTTATTTTTGAAAGCGAGACAGAGTGAGAGTGGGGGAGGGGCAGAGAGAGAGGGAGACACAGAACCCGAAGCAGGCTCTGGGCTCTGAGCTGTCAGCACAGAGCCTGATACGGGCTCGAACTCACAAACTGTGAGATCACGACCTGAGCTGAAGTTGGACGTTCAGCTGACTGAGCCACCCAGGCACCCCACACGTGTAGTTTCAAACTTATAAAATTTATTTGGAATAATAAGCAGCATGAGGATTTTTCAGATGGACAGGCAGGCAGGCAGACAGAGGTACAGCTGACCCATGAATGCCACGGGGTTGAAATGCACGGGTCCCCTTCCCTGCAGACTTTCTACGGGACAGGACTGTAAATGTATTTTCTCTTCCTGATGATTTTCTTAATAACATTTCCCTCCAGTTTACTTCCTTCCAACAATACGGTCTATGATATAGAGAACATACAAAATACGTGTTAATGTCACAAAATGCGTAATTCTCAGATTTTCCACTGCATGGGGGGTCGGTGCCCCACCCCCATGTTGTGCAAGGGTATAATGTATACAGACAACAAGAAAAAAAGAAGAAACATTTCTCTTTTTCCCTGTGTCCTAAAGCCACCTGTTTTTGTTTTTTGTTTTTTTATGTAAAGAGATTCTGATTTATTTTGGTGTAATTTCCTTCTGAATTAAAAAGAAGAAAAGTGAGAATCCCAAGCAGGCTCTGCCCTGCCAGCACAGAGCCCAACACAGGACTCGATCTCACCAACCGTGAGATCACGACCTGAGTGAGATCGGGAGTCTGATGCTTAACTGACTGAGCCACCCAGGCACCCCAGAAAGAATAATAAATAAAGCCACCTGTTTGAATTCGAAGCAAGTTATGATGTTCTCTGATTTCATGAACAAGGAAGCGGTATGGTAACAAGGAGAAAGTAAGATGCTTATCCTCTCTGAGCTGGCAATTCCCCTCTTAAGAATTTACCTACTGGAGGGGCACCTGGGTGGCTCAGGCAGTTAAGCCGCCGACTTCAGTTCAGGTCATGATCTTACGGTTCGTGGGTTCGAGCCCCGCGTCGGGCTCTGTGCTGACAGCTGGGAGCCTGGAGCCTGCTTGGGATTCTGCGTCTCCCTCTCTCTCTGGTCCTCCCCCGCTCACACTCTGTCTCTCTCTGCTTCAAAAATAAATATTAAAAAAAAAAAAAAAAAAGAATTCACCTACTGGAATCATAGACACACTCCCCCCAAACTGAAAGACGCTGAACGGTCAAGAAAAGAAAGCTCGTTAAGTAAATTACATGGCATCGCACTGAAGGGAAACTTTGCGGCCGTTAGAAGGCAGGTTCGGTAGCGAGACCGACGGCCTAGAGAAGGGTTCGTAGCAGAGTAGGTTGTCAAATACGCAAACACTGCTGCAGTTTCATAAAGAGAACACGGCAGACTCTCACGTACGTGCCCATGGAAAAGAGCACCCGACACGTGCACGTCCACATCTGGGCCGCGAGGCGGGAAGGGATCTGTACTTACATTTCTGCTTTCCGAGTCTTCTCAGGACACGTGTTCACTCTAAAATCAGAATAAAAGCGGATTGTAGTTATTTTATGCGTTCTTCTCCCCCATCCCAATCCTAGAAAATCCGTTGGGGACACTAATCAAGAGAAGGCACCGAGTGACCAGGCTCGCGTTGTCTTGCAGCGAACCTGATCCTACAGGCTCCCCCCTTCGTGTTTGAAGGCGACTCTGTGGTTCTGAGATGCCGAGCAAACGCAGAAATCACTCTGGATACCACGACACTGCACAGGCGGGGCGAGGTCCTGAGCGTCTCTGATGAAAGTTCCGACTTCCGCATCGAGCAAGCAAGTCTCAAAGACAACGGAGACTATCGCTGTTCCGGATTTAAGAATGGCTGCTGTTCCTACTCTTCCAACACGATCAACATCGAAGTCCAAGGTAAAGCCTTCGTTATCTGCGAGACGGGCTTGCTGAAAGGACGCTCCCTGAGGCAGCAGAGGGTGAGAAGGGTGGGCTGGGATACCCCCGCACCTCAGGGCTCACTCCTGCGAGCATCGGAGGAAGCGCAGGAGTGCTTTGAGCTGAAGGGGGTTGCGGATGGAAAGCAGCCTCCCCCCTGCCTGCTGTGCATCTTCCGCGGCTGCTGCAGACGGGCTGCGTTTCTCTCCAGAGCAGTTCCGGGCCTCACTGCTCTGGGGACCATTGTGATCCTTCTCTAGAGCTGTTTCCACGTCCCGTGCTGACAGCCAGCCTCTCACCAACCGTCTCTGGGAAGTCAGTGACCCTGACCTGCAAGACCCAGCTCCCTCCGCTGAGGTCGGACGTCAAACTCTGGTTCCGCTTCTTCAAAGACGACCACATGCTGCAGTTGGGCTCGGAAAGCTTTCTGAAAATTTCGACCCTCACCACGAGGAGCAGAGACCCGCCGTATTACTGGTGCGAGGTCCAGAGAGGGTCTTCCGGCGTCTGCAAACAGAGCCAGAAATCCCAGCTACACGTGCAGAGTGAGTGTCAGCGGGTTCTGATCCGCCAGGACCCAGGGACGGGGCAGGAGCCAGGCAAAGCCGCACATCAGTGCTTGATTGTCCTGCTGGTCAACTGGAGCCCAGCCCCTCCGGCTTCTTCGGGCCTTGTACTGCCTCCCAACCAATCTCTTGCCCTACCCGCTTCCTGCCTCCTCCCCAAGTCACCTGCGTGGGTCTGCTCAGGCTGCATGGCCTGCACGCAGAAGTGCATTCTCTCACAGCCCTGGGGACTATGAGTCCAAGATCAAGGAGCAGTAGGTTGGTGTCTCAAGAGAGCTCTTTCCGTCCTGCAGCTGGCCAGCTTCTCGCCGAGTCCTACCTGGGCTTCTTTCCTCTGCTGTCATAAGAGCCCCGGTCTGACCTGATTAGGGCCCCACCTATAGCCTCCTTTAACTTGAATTACCTCCTCAAAGGCCCCGTCTCCAAATACAGCCACCTCTGGGGTTAGGGCTTCCACACAGGCATTTTGGAGGAACACGGTGCAGCCAGTGATGTCCTGATGTCTCTGCTGTCTCCCAGATCTCTGAGCAAGGGTGTCTCTCTATCTGTCGTGGGCCTCGTGCTCTGTCCAGCCCAGGACCATCACGCCCTTCGATGTGTCCGCAGCGTCTCTTTCCTCCCTCCCTCGTTCTCTGTCCCTCCCTCCCTGTTTGTCTCCACCTCTCTTTCTCCCAGGGATGCAGAAGTATCTTTTCCCAATTAGCAGTTAATTTTTGACAATAACCAACACACATATCCTCGTAAGATACAGAGATGGGTAATAACATCGTAGCCACTCCAGAGATGTAGTCAGGGGTGAGGAGGACCCCCGAAACCACCACTCCTTGACCAGGGCACTCAAGGCCCTTAGGGATGTCATGGCTGCCTAACCCAGCCCGTCCTAAGGAGACTCTTCATTCAGCACTGGGCCAGTACTCAGCAGGCAGACCCCAGTCCTGGCCTCTGGAAACTCACAGGCCTCCCATCCTGTTCCTGACCCTGTTCTCTCCAAGGGAAACAGAGGGGGTCAGGATGGATGCGGGGAGAGTGCGGGGACAGAGGAGGGGATCCTGGAACAGTGTGTGAATCTGGAAGGGAAAGGACGAAGGCTGGTGCACTGAGCCCAGCCCCAGTGAGTGGAGAAGCGGAGAACAGGGACTGAGCAGAAGACCCCAGGGCTTGGGCAGGTGGGGGCAGCTCCTCCAGGGTCACAGGCAGAAGGAAGGAACAGGGAGGGGTAAAAGAAGGGACTTCTTCCACCAGAGCATCATTTACCCTGGAAAACGGGAGTGGGGTCACCTCAAGGGGGGCGGATGGGGAGAAGGGGGCGCGTGGAAGGCAGGGGCTGAAGCCCGGCCAGCACCGGAAATGTGCAGGGAGGAGGCCCAGCACCCCCTGACTGATGATTCTTTCCCTCAGTCCCTGTGTCTCGTCCTGTCCTCACCCTCAGCCCCCATGGGGCCTCGGTTCCTGAAGGACATACAGTGACGCTTACCTGTAAAGCCGAGAGTGGCTCCTTCCCAATCTTGTACCAATTCCTTCGTGAAGAAGTCGTCATCCAGAAGATGGAGCCCACTCAGGGCATGAAGTCCGTCATGTCTCTGAGGGCAGAGCATTCTGGAAACTACTACTGCACCGCGGACAACGGCCTGGGTGCCCAACGCAGCCTGCCCGTGTACCTCACTGTGACTGGTAAGTCCTGGGCTTGCGGCCCTCCATCCTCGGCCTCCTTCCCCCAGCCCTCCCGTAGTGCGCTCCCGCCTCCAAGGCCCACCGATGCTCCCGGGGACAGCTGCCTGCCTCTCTGCGCCTGGTCGCTGGCACAGTGCAGGCGCCATCAGAGCCCGGGACGTCTGCACCGCAGCTCCCCTCCCGGCCCCACCCGAGGAGCCCAGTGCTTTCTCGTGCCCACCCCTCGTCCTGCGAGGCCCCATCCTCGCACGTGCTCTCAGTAACTGCAGAATCAGTCCCGGGGCCCAGAGGTGACGTCAATTATTGATCACCACACACCTTGATCACGTGGCTCTCGAACGTCACGTATGGATCCCAGCGGGGTACAGAGCCACCAAAGGTACTCAGCCCGCGCGGCGCGATCAGCGTTTCCTCCGCGGGCGCCGGGGAGCAGGAGTGCAGGGGAGAGCGAGTCTGGGAAGCACGGATGACCCCGCCGCCCGATGGCCTTAAGGCCCCCAAAGTGACAAAGGCGAGTGTCGAAAAAGTTACGAACCTACCCGGTTTCTGCGGAGCCTCGAGTCTCAGCGTTGTACCGTCGACACAGAACCAGTTCCGGGCGCACCTTTGGGGGCGGGGGTTGGGGGGGGTGTACTCATGCGCAGTCCGGTCCCGGCGCAGGACCCGCGCAGCCTCAGTTTCCGCTTCTGGAGAAAACACACAACCAGGCTGGCGACGAGCCAGAGTGCAGCCGCTCCCGCAGCTCCTGCGCAGAAGGTCGTACGGAACTGGGCCAGGGAGCCCCGACGGAGGCATCGGACCAGGAGGGCAGGGGCTCCGCGCTGCGAACACCCAGAGGCCCGAGGACATCGGGCAGTGACGTCACCGCAAGCGCCCGCCGCGGCGGAAGTGCCTACGTGACGGCGCATGCGCTCGGCTAGCGCTGCGCGCCTTCTGCGGAGGCCTGAGGCGAGCCCGGCCCGGCCTTGCGCACGGTTCTGGGGGCGACCGGCGGGTGTGGATCGGCACCCCGGCCAGCCCCGGGCCGAGGCCCACGAGTACCTGCGGGCCGTGGGGGCAGGGGGGCACCCCGATCTGCGCTGCCCGGGACAGGACTCGAGGAGAGCTCACGGGGGAGCTGAGGGCTGGGAGAGAGCCTGGGACCCGGGCGGAGGCAGGCGCCGAAAGACGCGCAGCGGCAACGAGGGACCCGTCCAGGACCCGGCGGGAGGCTGGCGGTGCAGACTGCAGCGAGCGTGGAAGGGCCGAGGGGCGGAGGACGGGCGGCAGGAGGCCTCAGACCCATGCTCAGGGCTTGGGCCTTATTCCAAAGGGAGCTCCGGGCTCCGCGATCGGGACTCACACCGGAGAGATCACTCGGGCCGCCGGGGTGACGAATGGATGGCAGAAAAGAGAAGAGCCCGCCCTGGGAGCCGCCAGGAGCAGAGCAGAGGCTCCAGAAGAGAGGCCAGACAGGACCTCAGGCCAGCCCCGCCGAAGGGGAAGGGCCCTGAGCACCGTGGCTCGTGGGAGGAGGCGCCCTGACCCAGAAACCGCAGAAACCAAGGGAAGAACGTATTTGAAGCAGAAGATGTGGCCACTTCGTACAAAGCAGAGCTGCGAGCTGATGAGAGACAAGAACTGAGTCACCTCCCTTGGGTTCAGCCACAAAGAGCTGCATGCAAAAGCAGGAGACGCAAAGGAGAAAAGGGAGTCTGGGTGTGACCGCTGCCTCGCTTACCAGCTGTGCGGTTGACTGCTTTGGGCTTCAGTTTCCTCTTCTGTAAAATAGGGGCAGTAATAGCCCCTGCCCCATTGGCTTGTTTGATAATTAGTGCTTGCATGCATGTGTTTACAAATTATACACGACAGACACCCGTACAGTAGATGCACATGTGACAGCGCTATATTCTCATTATAATCGCAAACGCGGAAGATCAACGTTATAGATTGGTGGCGATAAGGCAAAAAAAGCAGGTTTTCACAGACCAAAACAGGAGTGTGAGGCAAAGAAATGGAGACAGGAAATGTAGGCCCCTTCTCTCAGAAATCCGTCCACAGGAGAAAGGGATGACGGGGAAGAGTACACAAATGCGGAAGCTTTTCTGTGGTTGATTTTTTTAATTTTTTGAAGTTTATTTATTTTGAGAGCAAGAAAGAGAGCAAGCAGGGGAGAGGCAGAGAGAGAGGATCCCAAGCAGGCTTCATCAGCACGGAGCCCAGCATGGGCCTCGAACCCATGAACCATGAGATCATGACCTGAGCCGAAACAAAGAGTTGGGCGCTTAACCAACCGAGTCACCCGAGCGCCCCATGCTTTGCTGATTTTCTAATGTGGAGAGGATTAAATACGTCTACATGGAGTTTGGAAGAAGCCGACGGAGCCAGAGAATCTGTATGTGGGACAGAGGCAGGTGGAGAAGGAGGAGGATTCTTCTGGGGTGGGCAGGTGGGGGCAGCTCTTCCAGGGTCACAGGACGGAGCAGGGAGGGGTAAAAGAAGGGACTTCCTCCACAAGAGCGTCATTTGCACCGGAAAACAGGAGTGGGGTCACCTCAAGGGGGGCGGATGGGGAGAAGGGGTCGCGTGGAAGGCAGGGGCTGAAGCCCGGCCAGCACCGGAAATGTGCAGGGAGGAGGCCCAGCACCCACTGACTGATGATTCTTTCCCTCAGTCCCCGTGTCTCGTCCTGTCCTCACCCTCAGCCCCCGTGGGGCCTCGGTTCCTGAAGGACATACAGTGACACTTTCCTGTAAAGCCGAGAGAGGTTCGCCTCGCATCCTGTACAAGTTTTATCACGAGAATATCAGCCTGGGGAGCAGGTCGGTCCTGTCTGCAGGAGGAGTGTCCCTCCGTGTCACCGTGACGGTGCAGGACTCTGGGAACTACTTCTGTACCGCTGACAATGGCTTCGGGCCCCAGCGCAGTGAGGCCAAGAGCCTCTCTGTCAAAGGTAAGCCCTGCATTCTTGTCAGCCACTCATCTCTGGTTTGCCACCATGTTAAGAGGAAACTGAGGCCCGATGCGACAAGTGGCGAGGCAGCCGTCACACCCAGACTCCCTTCTCCTTTGCGTCTTCTGCTTTTGCATGGCGGCGTTTTGTGGCTGAACCCCGGGGGCGCTGACTCAGTCCTTGCCTCTCACGTGGTTCTTTCCTTTCAGAAGTCTGCATGGATCTCGCAGTCTCCACCTCCCCAACCTGGCGCCCCTGGCAGCCAGCTGTGGGCCTTAGCCCTCCCAGCCCTGGCTCAGCCTGACCCCTGGATAGCTCAAGGGACTCCCCAGCTTTTTTTTTTTTTTTTTTTTTTTT